GGGGGGGGGTGAGAGGGAAAAAGACCCGCCGCCCGGGGCCGATGTCACAGGCGGCGACCACTGCAGCCCAGCGCTTTCATATGGGTCCAGCGGATGATGCCGGGGTGTGTGCAGGCCGACCGGCACATGAGCTGCTCGCGGAATCGTGATGGCCTGCACGAGGGCGGGGGTCCGCCCGACGCGCGGCCCCAATGTCACCCCCGACGCGCGTCCTCCCGGGTGCTCTCCTCGAGGGGGGCGGCGCGACCGGCGCGAGACACCTCCCGGGAGACAGCTGCCTGTGCACGGTCTCACTTCGGGGGCGCGGGTCCAGCCGGTGTTGTGTGTGTGTGTGTGTGCTTCGGCCGTGCTGTGGCCGCTCCGGGCGGGGATGGGCGCCAGACGCGGGGGGACAAGGCGGACGAGGGAGCATGAAAAAAGAGTCCGGGTGGGTGACGCGTCCTGGGCAAGCAGGGTTCGGCCCATGTGTATGTTATGAAAATCCGGCCACAGCCAGCCGCCGCCCTCGCCTGGGGGCAGAGGCCCCGTCGGGTCTTGGGCCCGCGAGGCGCGCGGGGACTTATGAGTACCGCCGCTCACCGGAGACCGGCCCACTTTCATGCTCCCGCTGGCCGGGCGAGCGGGTACTTGGTCGGTCGCCCCCCCCCCCCCCCCCCTCTCCAGCCTGAGCACCCCCACCCGGAAAGCCCCAAGAGAGCGCGGATGCGCGCGTGGCGGGGATCACTTGGAGGGGGGCTTCCCCTGCCTGTTTCTGGGAGGGAGGTCCCGGGGTGCGCGGCTGGCGGCCTCGTGCCGGCCCCGCGCCCCGCCTCGGAGAAATACGCCCCCGAATGGGCCCGGAGGCGGGCATACTTCCCGATCGGCAGGGGGTGCCCAGGTGGCCCGGCCCGCGCCCGGATGCGCATGCGCCCGCTCGGCCCCGGGGTGGGGGGGGGGGGGGGGGCGAAATGGCCTCGCTCCGCCCCGCAACCGTGGTGCGACCATACGAACACCCCCCGGCAGGCGCTTGTCGACGGGGAACCGCTGTTGACTCATTATTTGGCCGGGGCACCCTCCTGGTGGAGCGAGGGAGGCGACCAATGCGGTCCGGGCATCTCGGCGTCGCGCAATGGGCGCCCCCGGCGCGGGTGCGGGGCCGCTGCGGCCTCTGCGCCTGTCCGGGCGCCGGCCCTGCACCCGCGCACCTCTTTGCTCGGCTGGAGGTGCGTGTGTGAGCGTGTGTGTGTGCCGTGGCGGCGCCCCCGCCCGATGAACCTGTGTAGGCTTGAGCCCCTCCGCCCTTCCTGAGCCGGCAAGAACGGGCGCATCCCCCCCCCCCCCACCGCGCCACCAATCCCCTGTGTCTATCGCACCGTTCCGCACTCGTCCCTCCCTGGCGCCCAGAGGCTCCGCGGTGCGCCCCGTCCCCTTCACCACTCGACAGGTCACATTGATCGGCCTCTTGTGATGCCGGCCTGACCGCCACAATGTCCACCCAAGGACAATAGACAGATGGGTGCTTCCCGCCTTTGTGTACATCCATCCGGCGGCGTCCGGGCCCTGTGTGGCTCCAGCGTGAGCGGTCACGGCGGCCGGAGCCGGTCAGACATTACACTCGCTCCGTCCCTCCCCCCCCCCCGTTCCCCCGCCGGCCTCTGGGGGACAAGGCGCGTAGAGCATGTCTCCCGTTGCTCGCGGCGTCTCGGCTGACGCCTCAGGCACACGCCCGCACTCTCGCCTCCGTGCTGTGTCCGCGTTCCCCCCTGGAGCCCAAAGGCTGGCGCCGCTGCGCACACGCACGCACGCACGCACGGCCGTCCACTGCTTGACTTGAAAGGGGCGGGCGTGGGATCTGAGCTGACCAGAGGGCGCTTTCACGCTCGGCGAAAGCGTCTGCATGCCCCCCCGATGTCCCATACCCATGTGTGACCACTGCTTCCAGAGGCATACACACCCCATGCCCACCCAGACTCGAAGGCGCGCCCCCCCCCCCCCACCGGGACAGGCAGGGGATGCTAGCACCCGCCCCGGGGGCCGGCCGTTGCCATTTTTGGCCTGCCCATCGGGTGCGGTGGCCGGGAGAGGGGGAAGCTCCGCTCGTGGGGCCCGTTGCTCTTGCTCCCACCCCCAATTTGGGGGACACGCAAGGGGGCCATTCGGTTTGGCTCGCATGTCCGCACCGAACTTCTTCCCCCCCGGCGTGTGCTCAGCCGGTGGACGCGCGCGCGCGGCACGATGTGCCGCCCCCTCTCCCAAGCCGATTTAGACCCAAGGGCGCTACCCTCTCCCTCTCTCGCCCTGTCCCGCTCTCTCTCTCTCTCTCTCTCTCCCTCTCTCTCATGGGTACCCCTCCCGGCGGCGGGCCCCTTCCAGCCCGCCTGCTCGATGTCGGGAGCGGATTTTTTGTTTTGATCTGGCCGGGACCCGGAGGCCCCGGCACCCCCTGCTGTGGCCCCCCCGCCCCCTCCCCCCGGTTCCCGGCCCTGGCCGGCTACGGGCTCACACCTCCGACGCGCTCTCGCACCCCAACCGAGCCATTCGGATGTGTTTGCGTGAACCCCCAGCCGCCTGGCCGGACAAACTGCACCCCCTGCCGGCGCGCGTGTGCGTGTGTGTGGCCCTCTCACAGCTCGAGGGTCCGCTGGATCCTTAATGACGGTGTCAGAGGACGTAACTGCCTCGGATAATATTCCAGCGGCCCGCGAGTGGGCGAGCGGGAAAAAAAGACTCCCTCCCGCTAAATTGAAACACCCCACTTTCCCTGGCCCCGCCCCTCCCGGACCACGACGCCCGAGCCGGGGCGGCGGCGGCGGGGGGGGGGGGGCTCTTGCCCTGCTTGAGATTCAACAGCCCCAAGTGATGGTCCCTGCTGAGGAAAGGTGACCTGCCCGCGCGGTCCCCAGGTGACCCCCTTTTCCGGCGCGGCCATGCTGGCCCGCGCTCACATGGCTCCCGCCCCCCTCTCCCCCCCCCGCTCCCCGTAGGACGCTCGGAGGTCTGGGAGCAGGGGGCGAGGGGCGCAGGCTCGACCAGCCTCCGCATCTGTCTGGGACTCGGAGTGGCCCGAGACGGCCGAGAGCAGGCGCGCATGGAAAGATCAGGCCCGTGCTCTCCGCGGGGAAAGCAACGAGAAACGGGCGCGACTCACTCTCGTCCGGCGAGAACAGCAGCACCCCCATTTGCCCAGGCTCCAGCATATTAGCCCCCCCCCCCCCGCGCTGCCGCTGCTTGCGGCACCCCTTTGACACAATGGGCTGACCTGCTCTGCAGCTTTTGTTCCCTTTCCGAGATCCCCCCCCCCCCCACTTTGCCCCGCCCCAAGCGCCCAGACATCCCGAGCGCGAGTCCCGGTGTACGTTAGCCGCCTGAAAATCCCGAACCGCCAGCCGGGAGTGTGCCGGCCTGAGGGAGAGGCCGCAGACCCAGGGCCAGGCATTTCACATGGATGATGAGGCAGCGAGCGAGCAGCGCCCTGGCTACGGGGGACGATCGGCCCCGGGTGTTCGTTCACGCTCGCCCAACGGTCCTTGGCGTGCCTCGGGTCGGGGTGAAGGGGCCCGCACCCCTTGAGACTCGGAGCCCGGAGGTGCACCTGCCTGCGGGGATCAATGGCGCGCACGCCCGCCCTCCGTACCGGCATCCGGGCAGTTCGCCCCGCCTCCATAGCCTCGGTCCAAGCGAACACCCCGCCCTCGCCCCCCATCTGGACCTCTTGACCGGCCGGCGCTATGGGCACCCGTGGCCAGGGAGGCCCCGGGCAACCTTTTGCCCCCCCCCCCCCCCCCCCCCCGGCCTTGCCCCTGCGCCTGGGGGTCGGTGAAGGGTGCATTCGCCCGGGCCAGCCTACCGTCCAGCCCTCATGGCCTCCGTCCATTCCTCAAAGACCGCGCGCTCTGGCGATGATATCCTCACGGGGCTTGCCACCCCTTTGGGGAATCCTTGGTCGACGAGTGCCGCCCAAGTTTGCCCATTCGCAGCCGGTGACCGTGCCTGCTCCCGTCTGGTTTCTCTCTCTCCCTCCCTCTCTCTCTCTTGGTCTCTCGCGCGCGCGGAGACCCCTGCCAGCCGGCTTTTGCCGGGGCGGCCCAGGGCGTGGGCATGCCCATTCCCGGGTCTTTTGACCATGGCCAGCTCAATAGTTCCGAACAATATCACCCATGAGAATACCGTTTCATCTCATCAGTCTCATGAATCACATGGTCCACATGATGTATACCATCTCGCTCGGCCTGGGCCCGGATGCACCACAGTGTGGGCCATTTTCATGCGTTCCCTTGTGTTGTGGGCGGTGAAGTTGTGGCGCCGTCCCCCCCGCACACTGCCGTTCCCATTGAAGCCCATGTCCAAGGGCCCCCGATGTCGATCGGGGATTTCCTTTGATGTGCCCGAGGCTGGGTCCACACCTGCCTGACCTTTTTCCTGTTCCTCCCAGCTGCAAAGATCGCCCGAGCCTGGTTTCCCTTTGCCCTCCCCCTCTCTCTCCCTCTCTCTACGCACACACACACACACACACACAACGCACACACACAACGCACACACACACAGCACACACACAACGCACACACACAACGCACACACACAACGCACACACACAACGCACACACACAGCACACACAGCACACACAGCACACACACACACACACAGCCTTGCCCAGCCACTCCCAGTCTCCAATCGTATCTCTGTGGACAGCTCCCCCCTTTTAGAAGGAAAGTACATTGGCCAACAGAGCATTTGGCTAGCTCCCCACTCAGTGATGCATGGGGAGGGCCCGGTGTCTCGCACGCTTTGGGGGGCGTCGTGATGTTTTTTTTTTATTATCGAGTCATGCCACGAAGGAGGGAGATCGCGCGAAATAAAGGAGATGATGACCATCCCCCCCCTCCCCGCGCGAGGGGGAGAGAGAAGATCTCCAGTCAAGTGCACGCCCCCGGAGACATCGCACACAGGAGTGGGGACTGGTCCACGGTCTTTTGGACAAATCCCAACATGGCCCCCCGATCCCCTCTCCTCTGTGGCCGAGGGGGCGTGGGCCGCCCCCGCCGGGAAGAGCAGAAATCTCAGCATCGTCACCTATCCGACTGTCGGTGTGTCTTTGCTTCTAAGTCCTGTCCCCTTCTCTCTCTCTCTACTGCTACTAGTGACCGGAGTTGTCGTCAAGGGCCAACGTCGAGCGCGAACGCTCGCCCCCGGCGCCGCCGCCAGATGCCGACACCGGGTGATGAATGCTGTTCCGTCGGGCGGCTGGCGGCCAGGCATCCGCGGTCACAGCCCCGGCCGCCGCGGCCACGGTCGCCGCCCCGGCTGCCCCAACCACCAGAGGCAAATTCCCCTCGGAGAAGGACCCTCCCAGGAGCCCGGCCCCGGCCATGCTGGCCGGAGAGATCGTCGGCGGGACCGGCAGGTAGCCGGCCACACCGCCAGCCGCTGCGGCCACCGCGGCAAATTGCGCGGCGTACGCCGCTGCCGCCGCCCCCGGCGAGGAGGTCCCCATATTGGCCATCATCCCCGGCAGGGTCAGGCCGATGCCGGGGTTGTGATGATGCAGGAGCAGCAGCTGATGGTGGAGATCCCCAAGACCGAGGTTCCGGCGGAAGAGCGACCCTCCCGGAACACTGCCACCAGGGCCTCCTGCTCCTCCGGGGATGCTGGACAAGTCGCCGAAGCTGGCCCGGCGCTTGGGCAGACTCTGGCTCAGGTGGTCAAAGAGTCCCGGCCCGGCAGCCGACGGCCCGCCCGTCAGACCGCCCATGCTCGAGGCTTCCAGGGGGAGGCTCCCACCGGCGGCCATGAAGAGGGCCTCCTGCTGGGACACCGCGGCCGCCATGGCATCGGCAATCTCCGGCGGCACTGACGGACCAGGTGGCACATGCAGGGTCACCGACGCCGGGGGGATCGGCCCAGATAGCATGCCCGTGGCCGGGCGCTTGCCACCAATGCCGGAGGATGTCGCGGTCGAGGTGGCCGTGGAGCCGGCCGCGGAGCCGCCGCCACTTCCGCCGGTTCCGGCCCCCGGAGGGGGCGACTCGCTTGGCTGCAGGCTGCTGGTGATGGTCGACCGGGCGCTATAGACGATCTGCTCCATGTCCTGCGGCTGCGATCGGAAGCACTGGTCCAGTGCATCCAACAGCGGGTCCACCTTCGGGATGTAAATAACCTCGCTGCTGTTGCTTTTGACCGTGTCGAGGTCCTGCTCGGCGGTCGGGGCAGCGGCTTCGGCCGCGGCACCGGAGTCCGCCCCCGGGGCGCCAGTCCCGCCTGCGTGGCCGCCCTTGGCCGGAGCTGGTGTCGAGGCCGGAGCGGCTGTCGGAGCCGACCGCGCAGCGGCTTCGGCCACGGGCGCCGGGGTGGGAAGCTGGGACCCATCCGGGGGGCTCGTAAACACCAGAGGCGCCATGACCGGCGGCACGGCCTTGACACTGACCGGATGGTGAGCATTCTTGACCGGGGCCATTGCCGGTGTCGACCCGGCAGTGGGATGCTGCTCGGCAGGCGATCGGGCCAGCGAAGGGCCCGACTGCTGGGAGGGGGCTCCCTCAAGTGCGGCAAGGGTTGGCGGGGGGATCGGACCGCGGCTTGGTGCCAAGGGGGCCGGGCCTTGCGCGTGGCCCGGCCCCCGCGCCGGGGCCCTATCCATGGGGCGCTCTTTCGGTGTGTTCGGTAGGACACTGAGCGAGAAGGATTCCAGGAACCCGTGGGTTTGGGAGGAAATGGCCTCCGGGTCTGGCAGTGAAGCCGAGCTGGGAGCCGAGCCGGCTGACATGAGATCGCCATCGGCCATGGACTCGTCAGAGTACAGCTGGTCTGGGGGGTTTTGTTGTTGCTGCTGCTGCTGCTGCTGCTGCTGCGGCTGCGGCTGCGGCTGCCCGATGCCCAGGGGACCAGTTGATCCAAGGCCATAGTGGTGGCCAAAGGCCCGAGGCTCCTGTGCTGGGCCCTGTGGCGAGGGCACCTGGCTGGCTGAATCTGGCTGCTTGGACTGGGGGGGCTTGGGGTGTGGCTTGGGCCTTTGGGCAACCTTGGACTGGGCCTTCTGCATGGGCTTGTTCGTGGGCTTTGAGGAGGCCTGCCCGGGCGCTGGCAGCGAAGATTGGCCATCGTGAGGAGACTGGCGCTGTTGCTGCTGCTGCTGCTGCTGCTGCTGGTATTGCTGCTGCTGGTCATGGTAGGAGAATTGCTGTGGGATCTGGCGGTTGCCGGATGTGGGACCGGCCGCCGACGAGGACAGGGTATCTCCACCCAGCTCCGGGAGCAACTGATGGCTGAGCAGGTCTTGCTCTTGGGCCTGCGGAAGGAAGAAATTGTCAGTCGGCGCATGGGCCGACACGCCGGTGGACATGTTGCCGGCGCTGCCATCGGCATCGATACCGGCCGCAGGGACCTGCTCACCGAGGAAATCCATGTCGAAGGAGAAGGAGCCCGAGTCGCCCGTGGCGACCTCGGGCAAGTTCGGGAGCTGCATGGGACCCTGGAGGGCGGGGGAGCTGGGAGCCCCCCCGAGCGGGCCGAGGACACCAAGCGCTGGGGAATTCATCAGCGAGCCGAGACCACCGCCGATGTTGGGCAGGCCGTAGGAAAAGGTGTCGTACTGATGCGACGGGCCGGACCCCGAAGAGTGGGACAGATCCGCAGGGGCCGATGCGAAGGAGGGGTAAGCGGAACGGTCTGCAGACAGGAAGGAGTGCGCCAGCGACCCGTCGCCCAAGTCGGTCGGCAGGATGTCGGCCATTGGCGACAGAGGATGCGGGTGACCTCCGCCACCGATGCATGATGTAGCAACGTCCATCTGTGTGTGTGTGTGTGTGTGTGTGCGACGGAAAGGACGGGTCTTCGCTTCGCGTGGGCGAAGCTGGCAGGGGGGCGGGGGAAGAGGGAGAAAGAGGGACAGGTGCAGGTTCACACGCTGACTCGAGGGTGGCCGTATGGGAAGGCTGGCCGACAGGCGAAGAGACAGCTACTCCAATAGGCAGTCACTCGTGCGAGGGCCGAGGCGGGCAGATTCACGGGACGTGAACCAAGCAGGAGGGGGGAAACAGTCGCTCGCTTACTCTGGCAAAATCTTTCTCCTTAGGCGTAGGAGATCGGTGTATCTGGTCTGGACTTCTTTCAGCTTCACCGCTTTCCTCTCTCTCTGACTGGGACCGCGGGGATGGGCGAGTCAGGCCGAGTGGGCCAGCTCTCTTCGTCAGAATCTCTCAAGCACTTTGAAGAAATCGCCCCGACCCTGGAACTTTCTCCCATGCCCGGCACGCGTCAATATCGCCCGCCCCAATGCCCCGTCTCGTCGAACTCGCTGGGGAGATCCGCCCCCTCCGCACAGACCCCTCATGCTTGAGGGAGAGCGGATTGGAAACGAAATGGAAACGGAAAGAGGCCACAAGCAAAGGGTGACCCAGGGGGAGGGAGAGGTGGGGGGGGGGGGCGGGAGGAGGCCAAGAGGGCACAGAGGAGAGCCATGCTGGGCGAATGAACATACCTGGGAAAAGGGAAGACGAGAGTGCAGGGGCACCGGGTACGCTCAGGAGGGCAAGGGATACGAGCGAGCTCGGCCTGAGGGATCCTGTTTCGGGGATATCTGGCACTCTCGTGCTGCATTTCACAACAAGGCGCGATTAGCAGCTGATCCTTGAATGCGGGCAGTCGGTAAATTCTAACGCACCAGCAATGTCGAGAGAAGGAAGTGTCCGCGTTGGGAGACTGGCCGAAGGCAGGGGAAGAAGGATCCTCGGCGAGGAGATGCGAGAGCAGGATGGGGCGGGTAGGATGACAAGGGGAGGGGGGGATTTGAGGCGGGGTTGGGGAGATGCAGAGCTTTTCAATGGGGCTTGTATCTGGGCACGGAGCAGTTACTGGGGGGCAGGTTTTATTTTTCAGTTCTGCCACCCACTGCCCCGCCTCTCGCCTGCGCCCTGGGTCCGACGACGGATGCACCACCGGCC